AACTCCCTGCCACAGGAAGCTAGGCTGGCCCTTTCCCTGCTCTCCTCTCTTTACCAGGGAAAACCCTTTTTTTTCCAGCAGGATGATGATGATGATGATGATGATGATGATGATGATGATACAGTGGTCCCTTGGCATCTGCTGGGTTTGGATGCTCAATTCTCATTGAAGACAATGGCATAATAAAATGGCATCCCTTAAATAAAATGGCAAAATTAACCTTTGCTTTTTGGAATTTATATATATTTTTGGAATACTTTCAAGCTGAGGATGCTTCAAACTATGGATAAAGAATCCATGGATACAGAAGGCTGATAATAATAATAATAATAATAATAATATATTGTTTTTTTAATATGTAACTTATTTTATTTTGTATTTTATTGTTTTGTTATTTGTTTTTATTTTATTTTAACTTATTTTGTATTTTTATTTATTTTTTATTTTGTATTTTAACTTACTAATAGTTTTATATATTTTTAAGGGGTGGGTGGGTTAGAGAAGGGGATTCTTGGTTTGTTTAAACTTGTGATGTTGTTTTAATTTGTTGTACGCCGCCCCGACTGCGCTGCAGAGGGGCAGGATAAAAATAACATTTATTATTATTATTATTATTATTATTATTATTATTAACTGCACCAGGGAGGCTTTTTTTTTTAAAAAAAATTGGTATGTGTTTATTTATTTACTTGTGTATGCCTTAAAAGAATGTTATGCTGTTTTAATGGCAATTATTTTAATGGTTTTTAAAAAGAGCGCTGCAGCATTTTGATGGATGGATGTCCTTCTGTGCGCTGGCTTGGATCCCCATCTGGGGGAAAGGCAGCATATAAAACAAATATATATATATATATATATATTCATGCGCCATGCCCCCTGATATATCAATCTATGAAGGGATCAAGCCCGGTTGGCCTTTGTTCCTTTCCCTCCAAGTCTGGAAGTGGCTGGAAACGGATGATTTGGCTCTGCAATGCCGGCGCTGCTTCACGCTCCAGTTCTATCCAAATGCGTTCTCTTATCTTTAATTCTCACCTTTTTGCAAGAAATAAAAAATGCAGTTTTTAACTACATAGCAAGCAGTAGCATCTCCTCTGGAGTTTCCTTCCCTTGTCTGCTGGGGAAGGAAGCAGAGGCCAAGGAAGACTCATAAGGACTAATTGGGTTTGGGGTTAATACTCCCTTGCCCTGGGAATTGTAGTTCTCCAAAGGGGGACCGGTGTCTGAAGCAGAGGATTTGCAATGCCTTCTCCAAATTCCAGATAGTAAGGGAGGTGAAAGGGTTTGAAAGAGAAACAGTAAGGGTGCATCTGAACTGTAGAAATAATGCAGTTTGACACCACTTTAACTGCCATGGCTCTGTCCTCCAGAGCTTATTTTGCCATTTCTTTTATCGCAGCTTCTACCTCAGTTTGAATGCTGGACTAAAACTCTGGAGACTGGGGTTCGAAAACCCATTTGGCCATGGAACCCCCCCCCCCGAGTAACCTTGGGCAAGTCACTCTCTCTCAACCTAAGAAGAGGACCAAGGCAAGTTGGGGCAAAGGGAGAAGGAGAGGAAGAGAATTTAAAACAGAATTTCTAACAGAGAAGGAAATAGTGAGGTGGAAAAAAAGGAAAAGCAGAAGGCGATAAGGAAGGTGGAATATTAAGAAAGATATAGAAGAGAGTGTGAAAAGGGAAGAGAAGATGAAGAAAGGAAAAGGGAAAGGAAAAGGAAAGAGAGGAAAGAAAGAGCATGGAAGTTGGTAAACAATTCATGGTATAGTTGAGGAGTAGATTAATTATGAAATAAAGTTAGAAAGTTACAAAAGAGTTGTTAAGGAATTGTGATGTAAGAATAAAATGGTATGATTAGATTAGATTTGTATGTAAGTATGTCTGTTAGTATGTAAGTATATTTTTAAAGTCAACTGTATCTGTTTTAAAATTATATATATATATATATATATATATATATATATATATATATATATGAAGACCAAGGCAAACCCCCTCTGAGCAAAATTGTGCCAAGAAAAACCCATGATAAGATACATCACCAGTCAAAAATGACTTGAAGGCACACAATAAATACTGAAAATGGTTTTAAAGGACTAAGAACAATTTAACAAGTCAAAGGAATAGATTAAAACATACTAAAACAGTTCTAAAGGATAAGCCAATTGAGATTTTTTATTTTATTTTTGAAAGACTGGAAACCATTTATGGACTTTTTGAGCAATAAAGAAATCTTAACGACGTAATAATCTGCGGCTATGGTTATTAGTAATTTTAGGAGGATCATTTAGCTGGATCTGTAATGGTAGAATAATATTTTCCTCCCCCTCCCTTTTTATTTAAAAAAATTCTTTTCATTGCAGTCAGGATTGAGGGCTCAGAGCCCTATTATATATTAGTTATATGTCTTTTCATCTTCCCCCCTCCTTTTTTCCCTCTTCCTTTCCCCTACTTCTTCAATTAATTCATTACATTCATATGGTTTATTTGCAGCTAAATGACATATGTTGCATTTTTCTGATGAACTTACCTTTGTTAAAATGCCTTGTTGGCTTGCAATAGACTTCTACAACTCTGAGCAAGACAAAGGCTTAAAATTGGACTTTACTAGCAATAAATCCTTGGCTGGATCTACACTGAAATTATTCCTTTCGTTTGTCCATTGTGCTGAAATTAAGGGAGGCAACCCTTTCGGCATTTGCACGGTGTCCTCAAGTAGCCCATTGCCTAACACCTTTCCTGTCCTTTTCCTTCTGGGAAACAAATGCATCCTGAGCTCTGGGTGCGAGTCTTGACTGCTGTTGCTCCAAGGAAAAAAGAACTTTAGAAGGCTCCATCCTTTCCCTCTTACTGCAGTCAAGACAAGCTGCCAAGTAGAAGCATTTCTCAAAAGGGAAGAACAAACTGGATGCTACTCAATGGGCTTTTTAGTGATGCTCAAAATGGAGGACATTTTGGAATTCTTTCTGGACAGAAGGTGGACATTGTAGGACATGTCCCGGAAAAGGAGGACCTCTGGTCACCCTAGTTTTGCATGCCACCCCCCCCCCCACGAGTGATGCCACTGTATATAATCTTGTGAAAGAAATTTCTAATCATAAGTTTAATGATACATGATACAATTGGTTTTGTTGTTGTTAACTGCCCTGGAGTCAATCTCAACTCATGGAGACCCAATGGATGAGACCCCGTCCTTCCCTGCTCTGCTTCATTCCTGCAAGATCTTCA